CACCCCCAGGTCCCCGCCTTTGTGTGCCCTCTCTGATAACAGGAACCGGCTCTTCCCACTTACCAGCACTGCCTGCTCTCTCACCGCCAGGTCTCAGCTCAGAATGCACCTTCTCGGCAAGGCCTGCCCTGGCCACTGATCTCAAATTTCCCCCAGCACACAGACCTCATAACCTCCTTCCCTGCTTTATTTTTCTTCCTTGCCTTTTTCACTCTCCAACATACGATTTATTTTATTTATTTATTATGTTATGTATTGTCTGCTTCCTACAGTAAGTAGAATGTTAAGTTCTGTGAAGGCAGGAATTTGGTTGTGTTTTCTTCTCTGTCCTAGCCCTAGGGCCAGGTCCCCGGTATATAGTCCATACTCAATGAATATTGGTTGTATGAATTCATGGATATTTGGATCTTTATCTTGGTCTCCGGTGCTGGGGCTCCATCCTGATAACTAGTTCTTCCAGACCTGGGACAATGCCTTCGTTCTCTCTCTTCTCCACACATGGGCCACCAGAGTGATGCCAGGTTCTCTGACCACGCTGCCTGCCAGCTTGCAGCTCTGAACACAGCCTGGTCCTGGCTGCCTTGCTCCTGGAATTCTCACTGAAGAGTCTGCTCTGACATGTTGTTACCTGTTCCTCCACTGACTCAAACTGTTGCTGTGTGCCCCGGCGCTGGCCTCTGACTAGTCTTCAGAACTGGCCTATCCCAGTCTGCCCCAGTTAATTAACCTTCTCAGTGTGACAGCTTTACAAGACTGGACAGAAGGCAGAACACCCATGATGCTCTGTGAATTAAAATACCAGCCAGTGGAAATGAATGACTAAGGATGGAAGCGTTTACCCCACACCATGCTGAATGCTTGAATCCCCCCAAAGAATTGTTTCGAAAGCAGCTGATAAAAAGACTTGAAACATTTTGGAACCATTACTGATCCCTGAAATTAGCCTCTTAAAAGTAGTCTTTAAAGTCGCTCTTGTATAATCATAATATTTCTAGGCTCAACTTTCCTAGTAGAATACTGGAGTGTTATAACTCACCTTCTTTATTCCAACCTCCTAGCCAATGTCAGAGTTTTCAATACTCTCATTAGCTTCTCCTTAAAAAAATTTCTTTTTTCTGCCCTAAAGTCGAGGCTTAAAATAAAGACTCTTGAAGTATTCCACTTTGAGATTACCTTAGGCTTCTAAAACATGCATAAAGCTCTCTCTCCTCTCAGGTGTACAATAGGGGTTATAACTTGGTGGAACAAAGGGACAAGGATCAGTCAGGTGGCCTTAGGAAGCAACATTTTAATTGGGACCCCAGAGACAACCGATAGCCATCAAGCTTTATCTGTGTCCCGGTGACTGATTTTTCTGTATGTGCTTAATGACAGCACATTTGGAGACTCTATCAACAGGTTGTATTTTGGGGACAGGACAAGGGTCACCTGAGTACATTATGAATTTTAGTAGATCACATAGAGCTCCCATTAGTGTTCCCCATGGAGTTCATAGCGCCCCCCCCTTTAAAAAATTATCTTGGCAGAAGCATTTTAAGGAGCTACTTGGGGGAGGGAGAACGGGGAGTTCTTTCTTTGTGCATAAGACCATAGGAAAGATGGCTCCATCCTAGCGGCTGCAGGGACATCATTCATTTGAGCCTTGCTGCTGGAGACCCAGGAAGGTTGGCTGGCTGAACTTCACCAGAGTCACAGAATAGAGTTTTAGGTTTTCATTCTGCAAGGAAATTCTTTTTTAAAAAGGCACCAAAGGATATGGAAATCAACCCTTTACCAGCGACCTTCCTCGTCCATTCTCCCATTTTGCAGTTAACGCAAGAAGCAGCCCATATCTTTAGATTTTCTTGGGGGAACAAGACATGCTCAGCATGTCCCTAAGGTGGAAGTTAGGTTTACGGTGAGCAACAAGGTTGGCCCGGACATCCTGGTGGTTCATTCACGCTTCCATATAACCCTAGGTCTTGCATCTCCTTGCTCCCCTCTCCCCGTCCCCCATTCGAAGGATCAGGTAGTGGGGTGTTCATTCGGGCCTCTTGGGAAAGCAGGTTCCCACTCTGGCTGGACCATGTGAACTTTCAGGGGCAGACAAAAAGTATCTGTGATGACACGGATCCAGGGCAGTTTCTGGAAACCTGACGACCTAAACTCCTCCCTCTCGCTGTCCCGGGTCGCGAGCTGCAGACTGCGCCCTCCCCGCCAGCCTCGGCCCCCAGCTCGGCCCCGCCCCTGCTCCCAGCGGGGCTCGGCCTCCTTCCACACCTGATTCCAGCTCAGGTCCTGCTCCCGCGCGGCGGAAAGGACAACGTCGAGGTCCTGGTCGAGGGTGGGCACTGGGGGCAAGGCCGAGGGAGCACGCCAGGGAGGGTGGGCAGCTTCTCCTCCCGGGGGAGGTCGGCGACTCGGGACGGACAGACAGAAGTCCGGGACAAGCCGGAGCCGGGTTGAGGGGAGAGGAGGAGGTGGAGTCGCCGGAGGGGCGGTGCCGCGGGTCGCAGAGCCCAGCCTCCCGCCCCACCCCCTTCGGTGCTTCTGTCTTGGTGACACAAAAAGCTCCCGCTCGGTGCCCGGCTCCCGGCGGCGGGGTCCGACCCGGAAGGCGGAGGGCGGCGGGGCAGGTGGGAGCGCCGCCCGCAGGGCCAGGCGGGGAGCTGGGGCTGCAGGCGCCGCCCCGCGGCTTGTGGCTCGCGGCGGGAGGAGCGGCAGTCGCCGGCCCGCGGTGCGCGTCTGGCTGTGGCTGAGCGGGGCGGGCGCGCCAGGACCACCCAGCGATGCTGCCGCCGCCACCGCTGTAGCGACCGCCCGAGCCCGCAGCGGAGGAAGGTCAGTGAGTTTCGGTTCGCTTCTCCGCTCTGGCCCCAACGGGTTGGGGGCGCAGAGGGGCGCGCAGGGATGTCTGCGCCCGCACGGCGGCCGCCCCGGGAGCCGAGCGAGCGGGAAAGGACAGCTGCCGCGGGGTGTAACGGGGGGGATCTGCGGATGGGGGCGGCGGGGCCGCAGGGGTCCCGGGGAGGGGAGCGCGGGGTCCGGCGGGGCGGGGCGGGGCGGCCCGGGGCGCGGGGGAGACGGTCCCGGGAGTTGCGTCTCTCCCGAGCGTTGGCGGAGTTGGGCGGGCGGCACGGTCAGCGGCTCCGCCGAGTCCTCGGATGCCCCCTGGAGCTCCGGTCCGAGGGAGCTCGCCTCGTGCCCGCGCCGCGCGCGCCGCTGGGGTGCACGTGTGTGCGCGCTCGCCCCAGCTGCGCCCCCAGCCCTCGCACACCCCGCTCGCCCCCTCTCGGTCCCCTCGACCCGCTCCTTCCCCACCGCTGAAGTTGCCCTGGAGCCCCTCCCGAGAGGAGAGGGCGCCGTGGCGGGCCAGATGTTGGGGGTCTTTTGTGCGGACACAGGCGCCTGGGGCGCCTGCTCCGAGAAGGACAGCGGCAGGACAAAGCAAGCTGGACTCGTGGGGCGCTGCTCGGCATCCCGCCTGGGCTGGGGGTGTGGTGGGGAGCGCTGCACGGTTTTGGAAAGAGTAGAGAAATCGGTAAAACACAGTGACAGTGACTTGATGAGGCGGTGGACGGGGGCAAACGAAAGAAGGATGCTCGCGAATGCAGCGCTGGTGTGTCTGTCAGGGCGGGTGACTAGGCGCCCCGCATTCGCATAAGACCGGCTTTACCTAGTGTGCTTTGCCAGTGTATCTTTGCCCCAAGACGTTATTGTCCTCCCTCTCGGTTTCTTTCTGAGGGATTCCTGTGGCTAGTGGAGGCTCTACCACCAGAGGGGAACTTGGGGGCGGGGGAGACTGCGGAGGAGGGGGAGGTGGTTATTTATCCTATAGAGACAATTAGGAGACGTGACGCCCCCTTCTAGGCCCGCCAGCCCTCCACACCTCAGCCGCCCTGCTCCACCACCCCCAGTGCACCCACTCCGGCCCTGCCGATCCAGGAGTGGGGTGGGGGGCGCTTGGGTTTCCTTCTCCGCTGCGAGTATCTAACCCTTCCTGCATGTATTTCACTGCAGGCTGAACAAAGCTCAGTCTCAATTGTGCTTCCTGCTTGTCAGCCTCTTGCCTCCCAAATGCGTACCATTTCCACTTGATGTCATCACGCAGAAGGGGGTGAAAGGGACTCGGTGACACAATCAGGTAACCCCCAGCAATCTGGGTAGCCGCCTGGGTGTCTCTGGGTCATTTGGGCCGCCAGTGCTGGCACAGGGCTGTTTGGGTGGTTTCTGCATCAACATCATTCCTAGCTGTGAGAAGATGTGGGAGCTGCTGAAACTCCTGGTTCAGAGAAAGGAATTGCAAATGACTGTATACCTTCCTTTTGAAGAAGTCACAGGGGGCAAGGTGAATTTGGGATTGTAGAAATTCCACTTGGTTGATATAATCAATACATGGGCAGCTGTATCTGAATGTGGTCTTTGGATATATGCCTGCTTTCTTATCTGTAATAATATATTTTGGCTTCAGTCTATAGGTGTGGTATCCTTTGTTGAAAAGCTGTTACTGTAAACTGATTATACATTAGATCAGTGCTCAGTGAGGGCATTGGTCAAATGCAGTGACCTTCTTAGGAAGCAACGTCTTTCTCCCATCCCTTCATTGTAACAGTGCTTACAACATCAAGGGAGCCGAGCTGGCAGTGAGTACTGGGAGGTGGGGGAGAGGGCTGTTGGGGGGAACAGAAAGGGAAAATGGAGCTGGGGTGAAGTTTCCATTTATATAGCCATGAACCATTAGACTCTCATTCTGCATTTTATCTTTAGGTTATTGGTTCTTTTCCAAAAACTCTGGCCTGTTTTTTTCTTTCCAAGGATAGTTCTGTTTTGATGTTAGCCTAACCAGATGTGGGGTTATCTTGATAAGAGTGCTATGAAAATGTAACCTTCAGACTTCTCAGGACACTTTGGCATTGGCATTTTCTCCTAGGGGGCAGAGTTCTGCGCATCCTACACCAGTAGCAGGGGATACAAATGGTTATGGAGATGCCCCCGGGGTTTTTCTTGTAGGCAGACAGATTGCTGAAGACCAGAGGCTACTGGTGCTCTCTTGTACACTGCAGCAGCTGCACCACTGTGGTATCTGTGACAGATTTTCTCTTCACCATTCCCCCCGCCAGCCCCTTGAAAAATAAAGTTAAAACACTTGAAAGATCTGTCATTCACTTCTAGGGTAGTTTTGTTTTAAATGTGACTTTAAAAACATAAGTGACACTAGCATTTATCCTTCTACTGAAAGCATTCAAGAATCACTCGGAAAAGTAGATGAGTTACCTAGTCCCAGCTAAAACAAAGGCCAATGCTTTGGAAAGATCAGATTAGTAACGTGGTGCTAGGACAGAGGTATTTTGACAAGTGATTTTTATGTCAGCAATAATGCAGGGTGTGTACTGTGTTGCCGTAAGAAGAAAAACCACGTGATGGGATAATAGGGAGTATAATAATGCAACAGAAATAAGGGTGTGGTTTTTTTTTTTAATAGAATAAATACCTTACACACAAAATTCCCCATGAGAAAACAGCTGCCTGCACATGTAAATGCACGTCCAAGAACAAAGATAGCCACAGTGCAACGTTAGATTTCATTGTGATTTTAAATTTTGTACAGTAATAAATCATAATAAAGTGTTGTGTCGATGCCTTTTTTTTTTTTTTTTAAGACAGAGGCTCCCCACCCCCAGATGTGTGCAATAGTGTGTTTAGCTTTAGCCTGGAGGAGCTCTAGAGGTTATTAGACTGACCTTTGCCTCCAGTCCTTTCTGCAGTGTTCGTTCCTTCATTCAGCAGCTGTTTATCAGCACCTGATAGATAATGGGCGTGGGATAGGTGCCAAGGGCGGTGGGTGGGGGTGAGACGGAGACAGAATAAACTACCTTCAGGGAGCTTATAGGGAGATGGAGAAATGAAGACCTGATTCTAATTAAGTTCAGTGGAAGCTGGAGAGAGATGAAAAAAGAGTGGGATTGGATTTGTGAGGAGGGAGAATATGACCATCCAGCCTCTACTCGAATGCCTCGTTCATTAGGGCTCTCACTGCTTCGTAAATGGCTGGGCCTATTGTCAGAAGGTGGCCTTTTCTTTGTAGTCTTTAAACTCTTAAGCTAGATTCCATATGGTTAGATTCCACCATTGTTGAGAGGTCATTCTGTTTTCATCCCGTCTTCCCTCAGAGTTGGTTGTACCTGTCTATACTGTTGGCACCTTCTGCTTTTCAAGATAGTGTTCAGTCCTTGCTGCACCTGAATTTTGAAACAAATTCTGCTTTTCTGTATTATCTGATTTAGAAAACAGATGGGAGGGGGTGCTTTTGCAGATTTCTATCTCTTTTTTAAACAGGGTTGTATGTATCAGCAAGATAGGTTAGGTTACGCTGCAGTAACAAATACTTCCAAATCTCAGTGGCTAGATACAATTTCTCTCTTTCCCATGCTGTGTCCAGTGGGGATGGTAGTCGGGCCCTGCTCATTGTAGTCACTCAGGGACTAGCTGCGTCTACACGTGGGCTTGCAAGATCACTGCAGCAATGGATGGAAACACCACAGGGTCTTGCTCTAGCATTGTGTGATCCCGCCCAGAGGTGAGTTCTATCGCTTTGGCCAGAGCTGGGCATATGATCCCATTTCATAACAATTCAATGTTTCTTGTGCTGGAAAAGGGAGACGTGGATCCAGGTGAGTAGCACTAATGATTTCCAGAGTGATCTGGCCTAGGTGAGGGTAGAAAGTGTGTCCTGTGGGACCTGGCTTGGTGCTTGGTAGGTATTGGGTGTTACACGAGTATTGATTGAATAAATGAGTGATAGATATCCTATAAAGAGTCCAGTCCTCGCCCAACCTATTACTTACTAATAGGTCGATATGATATTTACTAACGTGATTGTACACTGGTCATCGGTCATCAAATAAAGGAATTATAATCCTCTCTCTTTGCCTGTTTTGAATACTTGTTTACTCTGAAGTGAAAGGCCATTCGGTATTTTCAAGGCTGGTTTTAGGAGGCTGTGTGCTTAGCATTATGTAACAGAGAGGTGTTACTTACAGACTTTCTCTTCCTCACCATCTGCCTCTTGTCTAAGACTTCCTGAGTTTGGAACAGCCCAGGGTAGAAAAAGAGTGGCAGTGGGCCTGGAGTCACCGGGGAGGTGGCCTCCTGCAGCAATCTGCAGGGCAGCAGGTAAGATCTAAAGGGGGGCAGGAATGTGTTAGGGTAACCTCAGGTCACCTTCTTATTACTTTGATATTTAGAAAAAGCAATTTGGATAAGAGGCTTTTTCTGGTCACAAGACTAATAGAACACCCAGAGAGTTCTAGGGCATTTGTGCTTCCATCAGCAACTGTGTTGACTGGGAGGGTGGTAAGTTTTAAAGCCTTCCTTGCCTTACTATCCCTAAAAAGAGTTGGGAGCTGTGGAATAGGCATTGTAAGAGGCTCTGGATTGAGCAGTTGGGGCTTGTAGAGAGATTTTGCTCTGGGAAGAGCTGGTCACTCATGTGTCTTTGTTCACATTGTGATAACTGCATGTATGCATTAGAATTGTTAGGACTTAATAAGTATCCTAAGCACAAGCATGGAATTTAACTAAATAGTATTGCTTCTGACTCAGTAATCACCTTGGCAAAGTCGTTTTTATAAAGACAGCTCTCCATATGTAGAAGTGGTATGGTAAACTGTGTTTAGTTTGCAAGTCACAGTAACTGAGGGGACATCAGTATTGACCTAAGGATTAGAGGCTACCCTGTGATCCAGCTTCACTCGAGTGACAAGGTTTTGCAGCTAAAAGGGTTTTGAATTGGGAGATGAGCAGCCGGGAGACCAGTAGGAAGAAGCAGCTATAGACCATCC